ATTCACATTTTTACTGAAATACATGTAACATTAATAATACTTATACACACACACTTTTTTAAGTTCAAACACTATGAAAGACACAAAAAACTTCAAATTAATCATTCTTGAAAATCAAAATTTTATACAAATTTCTAGTGTTCAGCAGTATTTTATATTCTTTCACAATATCACATTTTCTCTTTATTCCTCATTCCTTTAATCATTTAACTTCTTAAGCTAAACAAACTCTAATTGTTTGATGAAAATATCACTAAAATTTTTCATTATGAAACATTAACAATTTTTCCTAAGCTATGCAGATTTCAGAAGTATGTGAATCTTCAAATCTGTGAAATGCATTTATTTCTATAAATCAGCAAACCACATGCTTCTTTCTCTTTTCATGTTTTATTTTCAAAATATAAAATATAAATTTGGATAATTCAAAATCAATGTATTTAACAAATTTGAATTGTTTTTTCTAACACTAACTTAATAACAAATTTCAATGGAAATAATAATATCTTTCATTTATCAAATAGTTCATATGATCAGATTTGACTATTTATAACAACACTAATGACAAATAAAAGTAAACAGAGACAAAATATACTTTTTTACTATATATTAATTTTAAATTTCTTATTTATCAGAAAAGAATAGGACACTGATTGAAAAGTACAGTAAATCGCAAAAAATTTAGAGGTCAAAAATCCAAATTCATCCATCAAGAAGTGAATATTAATCCCTTTCAATGGTAACTTTATTGTTGGTATTATTTCAGCTTTCTGTTATTGATATTCTAACATTCATTCAGAATTTGTAACTTTTTAATTTTGAAATTATAATTATTGTATTTTTTTTGTTTAAACATAGGGATTCTGTAAATTATATTTTGAATCTGTGTAAATATTCCTTCATTCCTGTAAAATATTGACTTGGACTTTGAACATTTGAAATCCAGATGGGTCCAGCCCAAATTAGTCTGGATTTTCAACACTTTACTTTGGTTTGCTTAATAAAAATTAAAAAGAAAATTTATCATTTTGATTAAAGTTTAAAATAAAACAATCAAAAATATTTAACTATAATTTCAATCTCAATAATTGACTTACATTTAAAGAAGTCATTCAGCATTTTTAAAGTAACTGTTTGAAACTGTATTGATCTCATCTTAAGATAAGCTCAAGGTTGGTTTTGAACATTAGCATAATGGTGGTTTTAACATTATGCATAATATTTTAGTATTATTATGTCATTTGATATTCAAACACTTAAAATATGTTTTGTTACTTTTTAGATTATTATTTATGACATTAATTTCTTGAAAAAAAGGAATAAAACATTTATACAGGGTGTCCCAAAAAATGTACTGACTCTTTAACAGTCCAATATTCATGTTTTTTGTTTTTGTTTCAGGTGCAAATAACCCTAAATAATGGCAAAGAGGTAACAATGAATTCCTTGCAAGTTCCCCAGACCTCACCCCAGTAGATTTTTTTAATGGGGATATCTCAAAGATAAGGTTTATGCTGCAAAACCAGTAACAATCAATCACTTAAAAGAAGAAAATGGAAGGCAATGTCTTGCAATTCCAAATGAAATGTTCCACAATGTTGTCAAGTCCATTGGTCCACATTATTAGCTGTGTTTGGAATTTCGTAGAAACCAGTTTGAACATTTGCAAAACACAGGAATGAGTAAACTAGGCTAGGAGAAAAGACTAATGTTTTCAATAATGCCATTAAATTTTCTTTAATTTAACTTATTAGACTTTTATCTATGTCAATAAACACCTAAATCAAAACTTAATATATTAGTAATGGTCAAAGAGTGAGTGCATTTTTTTGGTCACTCTGTATTATCATACCAATATAATATATAGATCCATTATTGCATCCAAGCAGTAGAAATGATCCAGCTGTATCAAAACTTGCAATTGGAACTACATCTTGAATCTATATAAAATAAATAATTTTTAAATCATCAGAACTCTCTGAAAGAAATATACATATACACAATCAACTTATGTTAATATGAACTGTTAGGAAATTAGTTAGTTAGTCTGCTTTATCAAAAATTTATATTGACAATTTTCAGAGTCAAAGTAATTTAGAGAGTTAAGCTTAACAGGTAATGAAAATCTCTAAATTATAATATTTTGAATTAATTTACTAAATAAAGTTAAATAAAATAAAATAAAATTTATTTACAATAACAAATTAATGTTCTAAATGATTTTCAAATCAAACAAAATGAGGAGATAGTATTTTCCATTTAAGTGTGGAGCAGTATATTAGAGTACTTCAACAAAACAAAGCTGAAAGAAATCCATGTTTTTTTCTGTTGAATATTATTTGAAAAAATATATTCTGGCACCAAAAGAGTTTAAAAAAAAAAAAAGCCAAACCTAGCATCACTGTATGAACCCCCATACCCCCATGATGTGCAAACTAGCACATGTTTGCATGGAACCATATCCATTTAAGAGTGGATGTTCTTAAACTTTAACCCCTATTTTCTAAGTACAGTAGAATGGTCTGCTAAAACCCAGATATTTTAATTGCTCTACAATGATAGGTTAACCCATATTTGCTTACATATTCTACTCAAAATGAAACATTTATTACAGTACTACTTTTTATTGTTCATTTTGAAAAATGTAAAAAGCAACCGTTATTGGAAATAAGATTATTTCTTTGGGGTTGTAAAGGTAATTTAGTTTAGTTTAATGAATTCTGGTAAAATTTTTGTTCGTTTTATTTCATGAAAATTAATAGTGACAATGGTGTTTTTCCAGAGCAATAGCAAATTAGCTTTAATACAAGAATTTGCTTTATTGGAATTTATTTGTGTATATATATATATACACAAATAAATATATATATATAATAAATANNNNATATATATAATTTATTTATTTATATATATTTATTCTTCCTTGTTTCTCATATTAAAATATTTCACAAAGAAAAGTTTTTAATTACCTGCCAATGTTGAGTCATGGCATGCCAGACACCTACTTTACCAGTATGACTTAAAGCAACAAGTTGACTTCCAATAAAAAATAAATTGTCAACAGGAACATGTAAATTAAATATACCTAAAAGAAATTGAAAGTTATTGAAATTATTGATAAATTAAATATAAAAAAATTTTTTGCTACATATTACTAAAAACACAACAAATTTATACTTCTCTGAATAAAATCATTCTTATTGTAAATTTTATGATACAGCATTAAAATGAATAGTTATTATATTAATAGCATTGTCAAATATTGTGTTTTTTAAGCATTTAAATTGTTTTCTAACTTCTTGCTACTTAAAATTGATTATTTAACAATTCTTCTCTCCATAAAATTATTTTAAAATTTGTTTTCAAACTCATGATGCATCTTAGAATCAAGGAAGCTAATATTTTATTATATAATAAATAACTAATAGCATTAATTATATTGAAATTGAGATAATTTAAATAATTCTCTCTTAATGTTTAATATTTTATTAAAAACACTAATATTATCATCATATAATTTAAAACAATTAAATCTCTATCTATAAATATACAAAATTGAATGTAGCATTTAGAACAGTATAACTATTAAATTTAATTTAAAAAAATTACATTTTGAGAAATTTAATTTGGTTTACCTACTTTAATTTTTTATTTGCTTTCTTTTTTTGATGTTTTAATATATTCAAAATATTTCAAACATGCTTTATATGTATGTAATAATAACTAACCAATTTCTGTTTTTACTCCATCTTCTGTGATTCCCCAAAGCTGCACTTGAGATCCGTAAGAAATGGCTAGCATTTTGGTACTATTTTCTGACTGATTGGATACAACTTTTGCATTAAGTGCAATTTTTTCAACAGTAGAATCAATATATGAACTTGTAAAAGCAAGCTGCCAACCTGTAGAATCTCTCAATCTGGAAAAAATAAAAAATCCATGCTGCTTAAACAAGAAATTCATAAGGATATTTGATAAACATAAACTAGCACATTTTAACCATACCAAATGCAAAAGTTAAAACTGTATTTCCACTTAATAATGACAAATTTCAGATAATTAGAATAGAATAAAAACATTACTAAAAAAACTTTTGATTTGGGAATTGAAATGTTTCATTGGGAAATATGAATATATTTAAGGAACAATTTTTTAAATTTATATAATTTTGTAGTATAATTTTATATATTAATTAATTAATTAATATAAAAATACTATTATACAATAGAAGTAATATGTTTTTCACAGAATATACAAAGGGAAGTCATTGAGTAGGCTACAGATACTTACAGAAGCAAAATTTCTAACATAGCAATTTTATTGAGAAATTAATGCTGTAAATGTTCAGACACTTGTCCCAACATTATACTATATTCTAGAAAACAACCTGCATATCAGGGACAAGTGCTTAAATATTTAAAGAAATTTTTTTGAAAAATTAATGCTCTGTATTAGAAAATTTTTGCTTTGTTTGCTTGGTGTCTATCTGATTAGACAGATATCAACCAATCTAATTACTGACTTCCTCTCATTATAAATTATTAGTCTGTCATGTTAAAATATAGCTTATATGACATGATTTATTAAATTTATAACAGTTTAAAATTCGAGTTACTTCGATCTACTTTACCAATACTACTAATTAATAGTAGCGGTAAAGTAACCCATTTCAATACGGTGATCGTTTGGCTTATTATTAAAAACATTGGGCGTTGAGATGTTTATAGATGTATGTACTGGATTATTTTGCCATGAATGCTAAGATGCTTGTAAAAGGCTAACCTGGCCACAGTGTCTTTTGAGAAATAAAAAAATAATAATAAAAATAAAAATAAATTACTAATTTTAATTTTGTCAGTCTGTCAGTTAACAGATAAAATAAGTAAATACATGTGAATTTAACACACCCAAAAAGTATGTATTTAATCATAAAACATTAGTGCATACTGGTATATTATTTCTTTAAACAATTGGGATGACAATAATTTTTTTATATTCAATAATAATAAATATAAATACATTTTCATTTAATATTATTTTTAATAACCCATTTTTTTTTTTTAACATTTTCTTAAAATGTTAAATGAGTATTGATACATATTATAAACAATCATTCTTAGACTAAATTATAAAATTCAGCTATACTTTTAACAACATATACAAAACATGAAAGTAATGATATTAAAGTTTATATTAAGTTAGATTTATTTAAAATGAATAAATATTCAAAACCTCTAAAACCCACAAGGAAAACTTTATTAAACATTTTTTGAACTTAAAAGAACTATTTTCAGCTTACATCAATATATACTAACTTGAATATATCTATAGTTTGTTCAATAAAAGATGAACTTTTCAAAGGTCTTTCTGATAAGCGGTTAGTTGGTCTCATTGACAATTAAAATATACAACAGTCATGCAAATAATATTGCTATTTAGTGAATTCTGTTAACCAAAATAATTATGTACATTTAAAAACAATAGTCCTACTTGACTGTGCAATGCATTCACCTTGTTTAACACATAAAGCATTACTTCCTGCCATTTTGCTAACAAAATCAAAACTTATGATAATGTCATTATCACTTCAATTTTTTTGCTTCATTTTTAATCTTTACAGTATATAGGTCAATTTTTACATAATAATTTAAATTTTACATAAATTTTGTTTTAATTTAAGTATCTTTCAAGTCAAAAGACTAGTAAAATAAATCCAAACTAAAACATGTGAGATGTAAAAAATTATGAACTTAAATTTTACAAGAAATTTTTCCAATAGATGAACTTTAAGTGTTCTTCAAAGTCCCTTTTTTCATACACCATTAGGAAATAACAATTTCACAGTGGAACAGACCTTTATTTGAAAGCTTCTCATCTAAATTGTCATAATTTTTTGGATGACAGTCAAATTTTTCTCTTATGAGCTTTTCTTTGCTAAAGATAAGCTTGGCACTTGAAGCGATACCCACAAGATTTTACCTGTATTATTGTTTTCTACATTTTGCTTCAAAGCACCAAGCTTATCTTTACCAAACAAAAACTCCTAAGAAAAAAATTTGATTGTCCTCCAAATTGTCATAATTTTTCACTTGGCACAAGTGTTTTACACCTTAGGTGTTTTTGTTTGAATATCAATTGCTTTTTGATTAATGACTGTGATATTATATTAAGACCTAAAATAATGATGTACAGTTTGGTCAGTGCTTGGAGATGTATGCTAACCAAATGCTTTCAATATGCTATTAGTAAGATTGTTATAAAATATTTTAATTTGTATAAACTTGGCCTTTTGTTATTCTGGATAACAATTTGAATAAAAATCATTCATTTCAATGCAATTTTATCCTTATAAGCATAAAATTATGTGATAAAAGTAAAACAGTTCTATGAAGAACTCCATAAACTTTGATGTATTGACTGAGAAGTTTCACAAGCACCTCACTGATAATAAGAGAGGCTTAAGTTTAAAATTGGAGCTTTCTAGAAGTTTTTATTTAGGAGCATCTGCAGTGCTGGATGAAGAAAAGAATTTTTACAGCTTTTTTGGTGATTTTTGCACTTTTCAGTTGCTTATATTTTGGCAGCTTCTTTATAGAAAAACCTGAAATTTTGCACACTACCTAAGAAAACAATTATCTTTCAAACAGGATATTCAGAATTACTTTAAGCATTTGGGGAGCAGAGAAATCAACCCCCCTGAAAATTGGCAACTCTACTTCCTATTATATATATAGTCAGTCACACAGGTTTTACTCGGAGTGGATTCACTGCCATGTCTAGATCTTTATGTCATGTTTCTTAAACAGCAATTGGATAAACAAAACAGGATTTTAGCATTCAGATCTTGGATGGTGTGGCCATTACTGTCCACCAGAAAAAAGTTTTTATTTAATTTGAATGTTAATATAAACATCTAACTGCAAGTCTTATCTTTATCTTTAAAATTTTTAGCAAAAATGTAGTTAAGCGTTGACTCTTGAAATATTTTGCTTATAGGGAGCTTTTTTGAAAATTTAAAAAAGTATAATTGGTTTCCTTATCTTTTGATGAAGATGCAACAAATTGGTTTTTCTATACAGATATTTGTGGAGAATAATGAATTAACAAAATATTATCACCAATATATTTTCCAAGAATTTGAGCAATTGTTTATGGATATTATGATATGAAATATCATTTTGTCCTATTTTCATTCTTATCCTATTCATCTTTATTATCAGTTGAATTAACATCATCTGCTCTTTTGGCCAGAGTTCATTTTAAATTTAAAAAAGTATTCTATTTCAATTACATTTAAATTAATTTTGTTTTAATTGGGGGAATTTTCAGCCAGATGTGTCCAAGATGTTCCAAGGGATAGTATACACCAGGAGTTGGCAACCTTTCAGCAGCTTTGAGTCAAACCTAGGTTATAGTTTTATTCTGGATGCTGACATAATTCTACCAATTTTATTATATATATATATATATATATATATATTCAAAACTGGAACAGTTATAATGTTGGAGACTTCAAAAATATATAATTTTGAAGCTAAGTTGTTAATTGAACTATGTTCTCACATGTGGGGTGCATTCACAACACATAGATGGCTACATGAAGCATAAATGCATGTGCTGTAATATAAATATACAAACAAGAGATTCATTTCTAATGTACCATGGATTATTATGGCATAAACTATGATTTTCAATTAAATGTGTAATTAATAATTAAAATTGTTTTGATTGAAGTATAGCAAAAATTCTATCATAAATATAGTAACTTTAAACAAAAGCAAAAACAAAAAAAATATTGCTATAATTGGAAGATTACTTTTGAAAAACCAAAAATGCCAATTTAAAAAACTTCCTGCTGGATTTTGAAAGTTTTGAATATTTATTGCATATCATTCAGAAATTGCAATATCTCTCATTGATGTTAACATAAAACTATTATGATGAATACTTTTAACAAGATAAATGATGCTTGTAATTATTAAGCAATGTAAAATATAAAAAGCCAATATCTTATTCATCATTTTCAATTATTGTTTTGTTGCCAATTTTCAATCTATCTGTTACTGTTTTATCTCTGTTGTTATTTTTATTAATTTTTAAATTTTATATTATATTTCATTTAGTTATATGTTCATTATTCCATCATGGAACTTTTGTATTATTTTGAATATAATCTTACTCTAGAACTTGAACTTGATGATAATCATTAAAGATGACCAAACACATTCATTTGCTATAATTTTGCTGAATTAAAAAAAGGTACAGTAATACCCCGAACTTACGTGATAGGTGGGACCGAGCGGTAACCGCGTAAGTCGAATTCGCATAAGTCGGGGTATAATTTCGCATATAAATACATACAAATAATTTTTAATTGGGGCCGGAGACTAAAGAAAACAATTTAGAAAAAAATGTTTAATAAAATCTTAGATAATACATATGTATAACAAATTAGGCCTATATTATTTTACAATTTTTCACATTTACTTGATTATTACGCCATAATTTTAACATTGTTTCCATCTCAGCGATAATACTGTGACGTTTACGAATGATGCTTGAATTTAAAGATTGAGCATTTTTCACAGCTTCGAGAATTTTTTCTTTGCCTTTTATAATTGTTCTGACTGAAAATTCCGGTAGATCAAACTTCTTTGCCAATTCACAAATGTTCATTTTTGTATCGAAGTCTTTAATAATGGGTACGTTCGTAAAGTCATACGAGTTAAACGCGTTAGTAATGAATCGTTTGAAAAGTCTAACAAAATAGGAATAACGATGACGTCATTCTTGTTTAACTCGTTCGACTTTACGAACATACCCAATGTTAACTTTACATTCCAAAGATAAAGTTTTTCTTTTCTTGTTTGATGCAGAAGAATTAGTTCTACTTCGTTTGGATGACATAGTAGAGTCTCT